TCTATTACATATGCTTAATTTAAAAGTTTCACGTCAAGCCTCAAGATACATTGACTCATTTTACTTACCAACACCTCCCACCTCCTACTAATATTTTAAAGAACTCACCGTTGTATAATATGTGTAATAAATATAATCAGATAAGTCAGGAATTGGATATATTCCACATTAGAATATATGATATCAATGGGATTATCCATAAAATGTATTTTACGTATATTTAAAAATGTCTAAAATAATTTCTGCAAAATGTAGATGAGATAGGCCTTGCATTTCCTTATCAGGAGTGCATTTAGAAACCTCGCACGGCGCGTCTGGACCCTATTCTAATGTATGGGGTCAGACGCGCCGTGCGAGGTTTCTAAACGCACTCCAGTTCTGCAACTATACAACACTTATGCACCAACCGCCGCTGTATGTCTACAGTGCTGGCAAGATCAAAACTTCAGTCATGCTTTACTTGTGTTGGTGTGAATAGTAAATGGCGTACACACATGCAGGAAAAACAAACAACAGTATTAAGTTGCCATTCACAGGATGAGTCAGCAGTTGGTAGCCAGCTATCAACAATTAAATTCCTAAATATTACATTTCAATATTAGGAGTATTAAAAAGAATTTTGATGAGTTGTTAGTATTTCTAGAAAGTTATAAAATTAATTATTGTGGTATAATAGTTTTGACTGAATGTTTCCAATTAGAATCTATTTCTCAATTTAACCTAGATGGCTTCACCACCCACTATAACAATGGTAACATTAACAGAAATGATGGGGTTGTAATTTTGGTCAGGTCAAATCTAAATGCAGAATTAAATATAGTTAAACTGGAATATTCTGATATTTGTGTCACTAAAATAAATCTAAAAGTCAATCATCGGACCATTGGCATTACAGGTGTATTTACAAGCATTTATAAGGGATTTAGAAAATTTCATACCAAATCACCTAAATAGAAATATAGAAATATTCATAGGGGACATTAATATTGATCTCCTAAATGTAACCAATCAAGTAACTACTGATTACCAAGCAACTTTTTACTCCCATAGTTTCATGTCTTCCATAAACACTATTACGAGGCCACAAAGTAAAACATGCTTGGATCATATATTCTTAAAAAACAATATTAAGACTGAAAATCTATCGGTGAATTCTTATGTAATCAGCTATGATATGACTGAACATGATCCTATTATGATGCCATGCATGAATTGATTTCATATGTTACTGATGAAATGAATACTGGTAACAAGTGTATAGCTATATTTCTAGATCTTACAAAAGCATTTGACACGGTGCCACATCAGAAACTCTTAAATGTTCTTGAACAGAATGGAGTGAGGGGCAACATGTTGAAAGTTTTTGAAAATTATTTGACACACAGACAACAGAAGGTAAAGGTCAGAGACAATGTGAGTAATCCTGAAAATACACCTCAAGGAACTGTTCTGGGACCTATACTATTTAATTTATACATTAAGAGCTTAACTCAGATTGATATTCAAGGTAAAGTTGCATCATATGCTGATGATACAGTGCTAGTCTTCAGTGATAAAGATTGGGAAGCCGTCAAGACACGTGCTATAGCTGGAATGGAACATGTCAAAAACTGGCTGGATGTTTTTAAATTATCTTTGAATGTTAACAAAACAAACTACATTGCTTTTTCAAAGACAGTGGCTGATCGACCTCAATTTAGAAGCTTAACATGTCAAAATTTAGACATACAGGAAACAGAAACATCCAAATATTTAGGTATAATTATAGACCAGCACTTAAAATGGGACTGCCATATAATATATATAGCAAAAAAACTTAGATTTCTGATTTATAAATGTTATCTTCTAAAACAATTTCTCAACCAGGATCTACTAATAATAACATTATATTACAGTCTAGTAGAATCTATACTACGGTATGGAATCTTAGTATGGGGAGGTCTGTATGGAACTACATTAAATCAGTTAAATGTTATTCAAAACAAAATCTTGAAGTTAATATATTATGTCCCACCATAACTTTATATAATGAAAAAATTAGCAATGTTAGATGTTTATATATTCACGCAGTGTGTTGTTATATACAAAAAAATTAATTTTTAAAAAACCCTTTAGAACATAGACATAACACTAGAACTGCATCAAACATGTGCATTAAAGTACCAAAACCAAATAGTGAGTTTTTTAAAAACAGTGTAAATTATCTAGGGACAAAGTTCTATAACGCTCTACCTCTTCATATAAAATTATTAAACAAATATAAAAAATTCTGTAAAGTTAGCAAAATATACATTTTCCAAAATAATGCAAAGTTTATCAGAATATTCCAAGAATAACGGACTTAATACATGGATTTTTTTTAAATAGTTTTTTTTTCTGTTTCTTGCATAAATTGTTTTATTTTTTATTAAAAAAAAAAAAAAAAATTATTTCCTTTATAATTCATTAAATATAATTAAAATAAAATTTTAATTTTTGTCAGCACATACAGGTGTTCTCACCTAGGTGCTTATTATATATAATTGGTTTCCATTATTGTACTTTATTGTAACTTATTTATTATTGTAAGTCAGTGTAACATCAATAGTACATCCTTTCCTATTCTACACATGTGAACACCATTTAGTATTCGTTCCAACACAAGCAAAATGGGACCAAAGGTTTAATGTTTCCAGCACTGTATACAGGGTCCCATTTATAATAAACTAAATGTGATTTCAATAATAGGTTAGATAAGGAGTTTTCTTTCATTTTACATGTTTTCTATGAAAATTTTATTACTTAGGATTTTATTAAAATTATTATTACCTAAACGGAATTATCTAGAATTACTTGCCCTGACATTATTTGGCTACCAAGCTTTATTTGGAATTACCAAAGTATTGCAACAATTTGTCCGTTTTCTTATAGAGGGATAAATAATAAATACACCCCAGTAATAGGTAATAATTAATTACAAGTGATTAATAATAATTAATTACTCAACAGGCTGTGAACAATCACAAAACAACATTTTCATTATTCAAAACCTTATCAATAAATGAATCTTTGTGTGTGATTTAAAAAATTACAAATATACATAAGATTACCCGCAAGCTAATTCCTTACTTGTCACATCTAGCAAGGTATGAAATTGTGTCCATTGATGTTTCTGCGCTCAGTGACTTATGGATTGGACCAAATTGTATTCTATGTGATGGTAAATATCTTTACATGAATACATTGTTATCGAGATTCCATGAATCATGAATAGGTACCTATTTTAGATACATTGCTTAAAATCGAGGTAAGTAATACATCTCCAGTCACTTGATTTGTTAGACACACTAACCTTGATTTAACACATTTTTAGTTTAATTAGACCAGTTGTCCAGTACCGTAAATTATGGTATTTATAAGCATTTATGGAACTTATACCTACTATACAAATATTTTTAGATTATTTGGAGAACTTCTTAACAATACTAACATGCTTTTTATATGGCAAAGTTGTGTAAACAAATAGTAGATCTCGATAAAGGTTCAAATATGAGGTCCACATACTGTTTTCATAAAGAAATAAATAGGAAAATATTTGGTAATTTGGTATCAAAAATAAAACTGCAAGCTTCCATGACCTACTTTACACATGCATACAAAATTTGTAAAGCAACAATTTAATTACAAAATACAATTTACAAAATACAAGTTTATTATTAATCTACAATACATATATATTATTATTATTATTATTAAAATAAACAAAATACAATAACCATATAGGATGCCATTTAATATAAAATTCCTACCTTGGACATATTTTGCCGATTTCGGTGTAGATGACATTATTTTACTCCATGAAAGGGATGAAGTCACACTTACTCCTCTTCTACATTGTCGCACAAACACCCACTTTTGACTCAAGTCTTCTTAGAAAATGGGCAACCTTTGCCATTTTCCCATTTTGCAAGGGAAATTGAAAAATTACTCTGTAAATAAGGAAAAGCTTTTGGTGCTTATTCCGCCATCTATCAAAGCGGATAAACTTCATAATTTGACACATCGATATCGATTCAAAATAATGTGGCCTAGTTGCCATATTTCATGTTAATCTGTAATTTTACGAATTTTCGGCATAATAATTTAACCCAGACAGAATCCCAAAATCACCCAACACAAAACGTAGTTATACATATGAAAAAAAATTGAAATCGCAGAAAGCGACTACAAATGTTACCGTAGCGTAGATCGATTTTCTTCTTTAACAAAAATTGCGGGTGTTGCTTGTAAGCAAGATATGTTTCGTGCGAGATTAATTTTGATTTTTTTTAAAATCTGTAGGAAAGTATATATTTAAAAAAACAGGTCAATTAGAGTAGTAAATGAATTTTAAAAGATATACGTACCTGGTATTTTCCTTATCCAATTCATAATAATTGTTAATATTTTTAACGTAAAATTTGGCAATCTCACATATTTTTTTGAAATATTTGAAAATTCCAAGCTACCACTACCTGAGAATGGTAAACAAATACCCCAATCTAAACGTCAATGCGAATGTATTTATTAAGTGGGGTATCGAAAACTGAAAGTTTATTTTTAATTTTTTCTTTATTTGTAGAATATTCGTACACACATTAAATGGACACGAGTGATTAGTACGACACAAAGTAACTAGGTGAGTTTACTTTATCAGTGGATATAATTTATTGTCATTATCATTTAAATTTTAATTACCTATTTTAAATCTTATCTCTGATATCAGCTGTTTTGTATTCATAGCTCAACCAATTTTTATTAAGGACCTTAAGACCATAATTTTTATCATCTCATTATTGAAAGCCTAGTTTTCATATTATGTATATGAAATGTACAATAGGTTCTTTCAAATACATATAATTATTATTTACCTTGTAGTTAATAGTAGTTTTCTTGCTTGTTAATACAAAATAATTGTTTTTAGAAATGTCTTATGTTCTTTGGTAAGGGTCACTTATTTTCTTCGTACAACAGAAAACAGAATGGGCAACTCAGGACTCAAACAACACATAGAAACTGCTCAAAAGACTGGAGTTCTAAAGGTGTCTCAAGGTAAATTGAATGAGTTTCCCCCTGGATTTAAGCAGCTAGAAGGCAGCCTCAGGACTTTAGACATATCTGATAACAAATTTGTTGTTTTACCCAATGAAATAAGCCGATTTATGCAACTTAGACACCTCAATTTAAGCAAAAACAGGTTAGCTAAGATCCCAGATTGTATAGGGGCCCTAACAAAACTCGAAACTTTTAATGTTGGCCAAAATAACTTAACCTCTTTACCCAGAACCATATCAAATTTGATCCATCTAAAGCAGGTTAATTTAAGCAGCAATCATATTAAAGATTTCCCATTGATGTTCTGTGGGTTAAAACACTTAGATGTATTGGATTTAAGTAAAAATGAGATCACTACCATACCATCTGAAGTTTCAGGATTGCATGTAACTGAACTTAACCTCAACCAGAATCAAATATCACACATTTCTGGTCAAATAGCTGAGTGTCCACGTTTAAAAACACTCAGATTAGAAGAAAATTGCTTGCAGTTGACTGCTATTACACCAAAAATACTTGGCGAGTCTAATATTGCCAATTTATCACTTGAAGGTAACTTATTTGAAACCAAACAGTTGTCTGATATTAATGGTTATGAGGCTTACATGGAAAGATTTACTGCTGTTAAGAAAAAGCTTTTTTAAAGTGAATATACCTATTGAAATGTTTTTTAAGTTTCAGTTAAGTAAATTACTTTTATAATGGAGGCAAGTTAAATGCTGCAAAATGTAAAGTGATTCTAAAAAAAACCACAAGAAAAAGCATATTTTAAATTATTTAAACTATTATTTGTTGTTTGTGTGTTTATAAACTTACAATAATATAAAGGTTATACATATAAATTATCGAATACTAGTTTTTCTTTTAAAACTATACAAAATAGCAGTTTTTGAGATTGCAGCTGTTCAACTTTATTTGTAATATCGATTGGTTAATGATTTAATAAAATTAATAATAGGGTTTGCCTGTTTCTTTTAACAGATCTGTCTATACTGCTAACACATTTTTTACTGATTGGGTCAAACTCGATGAGACCTACTTACAGATTGAAGAAGTTTTAACCTGCCACCGAATATTGATTATTGTGGCTGTATTTGTGTATCATAAGAAAGTATATCAAAATAATAATTAGGTACATACTTAGATTTTAATACCAGTTTTTTTTTTACTAAAATGTTTTTGTCAGAAAATATTACGAATCTTCATGTCAAAATTTTTGGAATAAATTTAAGACTGTTTAAGTTTTTTTGTATGAAATTGCAAATTTTATGTATGCACTTATTAATAATGCCAAAAAATAATATACATTCGCATTTATTAAAATACTATTTTTTCATGTAAGAAATTTATACATATTTAAAATATTAATATTGTGTCTAAAATAAGATATTTAATTAGTGCAGAAACTACATATGGTGAACATGTTTTTAACATAGCTATCTTACTTGTTGCTTAAAGTATGAATAAATATGGAGAATTTATAATTCATTTAAAAAATACTTATATAGGACTGTTAAATTTAGCTTAAAATAAACACCCATTAAAATATCAACAAGCATCTAAAAATTATCCAAAAATAAATATGTATGTATTTCATTTACACTGTATATATACTACATACAAAAAACTGAAGTATGTTTTTATTATTAATGTGAATAAATACAAATATCGAAACACCAATAATTTTTATAACTAAGAGTAATACTTAAGTATATGATTTTTTTTTTAAATACTTATATTTAGTGTGATTCTTCTTCATACTTGTCTATGTATAACATTTTGGTAAAAGATGTTTTGTTTTTATAAAAAAAAAAACTTCTTGAATATAACAGAACTTAATTTAACAAATAAACAAGGAAGAGGTCCTGAAAATCTATCAAAAAAATGTCAATTTTAAAATCTAACATAAATGTGATCTAAATAAGATAAAAGTAGTATTTATAACTTTAGTCTTTTAAAAAAATTATTCTATATTATAGTAGTTAGATATTGTAGATATTATTTAATAATTATTTCAAATAATGTAAAATTAAGTGATTATTATTTGCACACCAATTCTAAAGCTCAAAATTATATTTCAGTTTTTTACCACTTAAGTATGTTTTAAATATTACAAGAATTTAAAAAAATTAAGAAGTTATGTTATTTTGTATTATTAAGAGTGAAAATATTGGAAAACATTCATAGCAGTGGTTAAATTAGTTTTCCTTCCCACTTGTGATTGTTCTTTGTTAAGTCGTTGAACCACTAGTTATAAATATTTTTTTATTTAATATATTTCTTAAAAAATATATACAAATATTTTGCCTATAATAAATTATATTTTTGTGAGCTTTTTAGTAGGCACTAGTTTCTGCATAAAATATTTTGCATAAATGCGGTTTTGTGGTTTACTTATAGACAATCATTACTGTGAATAATAAATACATATGATTTATTTGCTTAATTTAAAATGAATTTAATAGTAATGTCTTTAATGGGTCCAATGTATTTAGTAGGTTTTTTTTTATTTGCAAAATATTTTGTCAAAGACTCTTGCTGGATTACTGAATCTGTTCTAAGGCTGTTATATAGGAAATACTACCCAACAATCAACTTTAAATGCAGAAATTTTACAATAACAAAATTTGCTGATTAGACTAGTTTCTTATGTTCTAGGCTTACTTTAACATATTAATCATTTTTACTTATATAATAATTGCATTTAAAGTATTGAATGACGGTAAACATATTTATTTAAAAGTTACTTTCCTAAAGTAATATGAGTCATTAGCTCTAGTGATTTTTGTGTAAAACAATATATATTGTGTATATCTTCGGCCCTAATCTACCTGGGTATTGTACTGTTTTTATTATAAGGCATTTTTATCTATATTTCCTGTCCATATTTTGTACAAATTTGTTGCACATCTTGCTCTATATTTTATAAAATATATGTAAAATCTACAATCTATGAAATAAAATATTGAAAATAATCAATTAAAGCTTTTTTAATCAATAATTGAGAAGAGAGTCAACTGCAATAATGGAAAATGATAAAATTGAAAACAATTGGATTTAAACCTGTATCATCCTACAGCCAAATGAAATAAATTCAAAAATTGCTCAGATGTTTATGACCCTTAATACCCACCTCGTCAGTACAATCATTTATTGGATTAAAAGGACATAGATTTTCTTAAATTGTCACTAATTGATAATGCACTATAATGGCTTGTAAAATAAATATTAAGGAAAATTGAAAATTTCAATCAATAATGTCTTGTCCATTCCACTCATGGATGACAAAGAAGCAATGCGATGTTCTTTTCTTTGCTGTTTGTCCAGTGTCAATTACATCACCTTATTTACCATTGTTTACTTCCCTCCTTATACACATGTCGAGTGTAATTCACTTAAGCTAAATAGCTGGTGGAGAAAGTATCCACCAGTGGATACCACACCGCTGACAAGTGTAATGGATTTTAGACCGGGCCAAACGAAAGATAAAGGTATACGGGGTTATGATGGACAAGTAATGTTATTTGTGTGTTTATAAAATAACAGACCTGTTAAAAATAACACAGGTTGTCAATCATAACCCCCGCATAGTGTGTGGTAATCATTCCTACTTACACAAGTAGAACGAACGAAAGAATAACCTATGCTGTAAGTGCTAAACCATGAAATAAAAAGTAAATGAGTATTAACTACACAAAATTAGGTTATTTATTTCAAGATAAGTATAAATGTGGTCTTTATACCCGCTCTATTTTTTTACAGTCTTTAAAAATCCCTAATAAATAGGTAATTCAAAAATATGGTCTATATACCTATACAATATAATAATTACGCTCTGCATAACTACCCAGACAACACACCAAATCCCAGAGATATTCACAGAATATCCTTTGTGGATATCCAATATATCCACAGGATATCAGAAATATTCCGTGGATCTAATATGGATATCCAAATGTCCGTCTATATCCAGAATATATAAGATATTCTATGGATTATCCAGCAAAATATCTAATGGGTATCTCAGGTATCTTCCAGACAATACAAGAAATCCCAGAGATATCCACAGAATATATATTTTGTGGATATCCAATATGGATATCCAACCAAATGTCCGTCTATATCCCAGGATATAGAAGAATTCGGATATTCAGCAAAATATTTTATTGGTATCTTTAGTAGAGGTTCATAAAAGTAACCAATGATTATTGAATAACGTCGAAAGAAAATAGCAGAGAAAAAATATTTTCAACACTCTGCCTTTGATTTTGCCCACTAAGGAGAAAATCATCCTTATTAGGACTCTTCAGCAATAAATGGAAATTCTCGACTCCCAGTCTCTAATGGAGTCTGATTGGGAAACAAATTTCGATCGAACTCAATTACGGCGGGTTAAGCCTTATTATTTATTTGAGAAATATTTAAGTAATTAATATTTTAATGAACTAGAAGCCCAGTTTTATTTCACATTTTTTATTTAATAGTGTGATGGTGTATATTGGGATTTGGGATATTAATAAAAGCCAATCCTGTATTATTTTTTAAATACGTAGTACGTCTAATACATTTGCGTCACAAATGATCTGTAGGGTAAAGTGGGACAAAGCGTCATTATTAAAACGTGTTTTTTTCCATCGGTTTATTTATGGTTGACTGTTGAAATAAATAACAGTTGATTAAAATTTGTGTTTATAATTTTATTTGAATGTACCTATATATATATTAATTTGAAAGTATGTATTTTGAAGAGTTCATTTTTTCGGTTTTTCCCACAATATATCAATTAAATAATTAATTAACTCCTTAAATTCTGCGTAATTCTCGCAATCCAGCTGTCAGTTGTCACATCTAATTGGAAAAACCATACAGAAACTGATGGATTGATGTTGCATCGATTGCAGCAACGTTGGATAAAAAGACAGCGCTGTTAATTCATCATTGATAGATTGATGAAAAAAAAAAAAAGACAGGTACCCGCAGGCAGCAGACTGACGACATTTTTTGGTAATTAGGCATTCCAAACAAATGAATTACCAGTGGGCAGGTTTGGTATATCTAAGGGTGGCGACATATGGTGTATTCTATCTACTTTACGTAAAATCATGAATAATGGATTACATTTAAATATTTTATGTCAAACACAATAAAAATAATATTTAAAAAACCCACCTATACATTTCTTCATAAATTGGCAGGCTTGGCGACTACTACTTTGAATAAAAATAGCGTCCAAGTTGCAAGACTATGTCGCTACCCCCTTAGATATACAAGAATTTCCCACTGGCACCTATTGTTTGACAGGTCGTTGGAATGCCTAATTCTTGGTCGTCGACGTCATGTTACCAAAAAATGAGGAGATTATGGCGTCACTTCTTTACTCCAAAAATAATATTCACTGACACTGACAGCAGCAAGCAAAATATCAGGTGCGTTTTAATCATCCGCTTCTGCTTCCGGAATTGTCGGTTTAGTCGTTTTAACCTGTCAGATTAAAACAAGAAAACCGACAATTCCGAAGCAGAAGCGGATGATTAAGACGCACCTATTAAAAATATTGCGCCAAGATGTAGGCAACACGTAATAAGGGTTCAAAATGGCGGAGTTTTTATGACCATTGTTTATTGTACAAAGATTCTTATAGACG